AATATCAATTTTTAACCTAAAAATGTTCAATCCAATTCCTCCAAATTCTTGAATTGAAAATTTGGTACAACATTACATCCTATAGACTAAATGAACAATAAATAGACCTTTTTTAATTTATTGGCTTTTTTTTTTTTAATATTTATTTGTCATTCAATAATCACGTTTCTTTTTCTTGGAAAGTAAAAAGAATCTGATTTTTCACTCACCTATTTACTATTTTAGTATTCCTATTTCCCCTCTACTTATATTTACTAACCGTTTTAAAATGGGAAATTGTATAAAATAGCAAATTAATAACCTAAATTATATAGAATAGCTAGGGTTTGATTTAATTGTGCTCCATAGCAAACATTATCTAAAATTTGCCAGCGTCTCTCTCTCAGGAATCTTGCTCGCCATTCTCCATTCTCGCTCGCCTCTCTCGCTTTATACACAGAAGTGTATAATTCTGTTTCTGTTTTGTATAAAGCGAGAGAAAATTGTATATACACATGCAAAAATGTATATCTTCGTGTTATACACTTAATTATACAATTTACAAACATTTCACTTCAAAAATTGCAGAGAAAAAGGTCAACGAATTATACAATTGCAGTGAAATACAATTTTCTCTAGCTTTATACAACATAAGTGTATATATTGTGTTTCTGTTTTTATATAAAGCGAGAAAAACATATATCTTTTTGCTATAAACTTATAATTATCCAATATGCATACATTTTAATTCGATTCAACTATATGCAAAACAAATTATACAACTGTAGCGAAATAGGCCAGCGAATTATACAATTTAGGCCAGCGAATTATACAATTTAAGCCAGCGAATTATACACTTGTATATGTATAGCGAATTATACAGTTTTTATGTTTGCTATGGAGCGCAATTATGCAAAATTTGCTATATTATACAAATATAAATTTTTTGAAATAGTGTTTTCTATTTCTTGTCTCTTTTATATCCACACAATATTTTCTTTTCTTTTCCTCTTTCATTTTCTCTTTTACTCCTTAATTTTCCCCATTTAAGCAAATGTAATATAATTGTATGTTTATTTATTGTTCTCTCTGAAATTTGTTAATTTCTTTGATTGCATTCCAAAAGAATATGCAAACATATATATATTAATTTATTAATGAATACAGATGTATGTATCGTATATAAATGTATACCTACGTAAAATTTGAAATATATTAATATAAATAAAAGTATATTAATTTATTACGAATACAAATAAATGTATCTAATATAAATGTTAATCAATCTATTAGATGAATGCCAATACAAATTTGTTAAGTGAATTTGGATTGAGTTTCTACTCATAAAATCTAGCAAAGAGCAAAATATGGAATTTGTAGATAGTGAACTCATAGGAATACCCTTGATAAGAGTTGTCATAATCAATTTTTTTTTGCTATTTTTTAAAGAAGAATAGTTATAATCGATTTTTTTATTCGCTAATTTCAATGAGAGAAATAATTCTACATAATATTTTGCTAGTTTGAAATAGAAATGGTTGGAACTTGGAAGTCATAAGATAGAGGATATAAATTAATTATCTTTTATTCTTTGAGAAAATAATAATTTGAAAGGAAAGAGATAATTTTAAATAATTTTTTGCTAGTTTTAAGGAGAAATGGTTGAAAGTTAAAAGAGAGATGATATTAAATATTTTTTGTAATTTGTTAAAAAATATTTTTAAAATGCCAATATATAAATTTTGGATTAATATGTGAATTTTTTTATTTATCTATTAATTACTGGGCTATATATTGCCAATTATATGTACCATTTGCATATCTGTGTCAATTCATTTGGCTACACTATTCAAAAAAGTTTGGTCAATTTAGGTTATATTATTAACTCAAATCAAATCAACATGTAGTAAATTTAGTACTCCCTCTATTTCAAAATAAGTGAATTATTAAACGTTTAAAATAAGTGAATTATTTAAATTTAAGAGAGTTGTTGAAATTTTTTTTTTTAATTATTTTTGCCTCTCATTTACATCTTCTAGGTGATAATTTCAAGAGAGTTAATTGTTCATATTTATAACTTTAATTTTAATTATTTATATTTTCAAGAATAATTAAAGAATATCTGAAAACACAAGTAGAATTCTCAAAAAGGACCGAACCAAGCCTCGTGGCCAAGAAATTTGATGAGCTAGGGCGAAGGGCTTAAAAACTTTCGACCCAACCCTAGAAGGATCGAGGGGTGGAGCGGGCTAGCTAGCCTTTTTTTCATTTCAAACTAAAATTCTATAACATAAAAAAAAGTTCAAATCAAATACGGCAAACAATGGTGTTGTTTCAATAAATAACACTAGTAAAAAGTTTAGTGTGATTAACATGTATCTAGGAAACTAGATACGTGAGTACATGTATCTAATGTGATGCATCCCAGATACACGAGCGAGATGAGAGGGAGGCGAGGGTGTGAGATTTGTCTATATGTCCAAGATACATGTGAATTCACTTGGATAAAGTATAATTAACCTAATTTTGATTACATGTATCCCAAGATACATATATTTGAAAGTATCAAAATCTGATAAGATTCACAATTTTTTCAACATAATGTACATTTAAGTAATTAACTTATATACTAGTGAGAATATTGTAAATTACACCTAAACAAATAGTTTTGATCCATGGACCAACCCGACCCAACCTTTATAAAGCCTCAAGGGCAAAGAATTTGTATGGATTAGGCTTATAAACTCTAATTTCAAATGAAATAAAAAATTATATCTCTACCCTATCCCGATAAAGTTTACATTGGGTCAACCTCATGGGAGCCCATTTTGACGGCTTTAGATACAAGTGAAAAATGATGTTTACTTTATGTTCTAAACTTGTTATCTAAATGGGTGTATTTTGGCTCAATAATTTTATATTATTTTAAAATGGAGTAGCTTTGTTAAAAGTCAAGAAAAGAATTGGTTTTCTACAACTTTGCTGTACAGTACATTACTTTAGCAATTTATTTTAAATAATTACATTTTAAAATAAAAATAAAAGAATGGAAAATAGATTTAAACTAGGTAATTAAAGGATTATGATGCATTAAATATTGTTAACGCATGACATATTAATTTTATTTAACCCCCCCCCCCCCACACACACACTCCTAAATTAGTTGGTACATTGCACTTGGACCCATGTGCAGGAGATCTAAGAAGTCTATCAATTTTCGATTTTCTACTTTATAATTTATTAATTTTTCTAATTTTCCGGCCACATCAAAAATAATATAAAATATTATTTAATATATAGTGTAGTTGTAATAAATTATTATTTTCGTCTTAAATTTTGAAAACGATACTTATTAGGGATAATCTCTTTTTTTTAAGCAAACACTTATTTGAAATGAAAAAAGTAATTTACGTTAAAATAAATGAAAAACAAATTTCTTCATTCATTTTTACTTATCACTATTTAACTTGATGTATCAATTAAGATATTATAAGTATTTTACAATACTATTCCTATTAAATAATGTTTTGTATTAGATTTTAAAAAAAGAATTTGGTGAATAGTGTTTAGTGTTAAAGGTGAAATAAAAAAAAGTTGTCTTTTTTTTTAATTTGTCAAAGAAATAAAAATATATTTTTAAAATATGTGATAAATAAATATAAATTGAGAACATAATTTACTTTTTATACTATGAAATGTATGTAAAATATATAATAATTTATTATGAAATTTAGGTAAATTGTACAATAATTTATCGTAACCTCCATGTATCAAAGTCAAACAGCACATGTCCATCAACATAATTTCATGAAATCCATGAGCCCAACTGTAAATGGAATAAAAATATTCCTTAATAGCATACTATCATTTACGAAAGCTCTGAAATCTATAACAAAATTGAGGTTTTAGGAAACAATGGTAACAAGATCATTAATTTTTTTAACAAAAAATGGTTGAGGTCAATAATAGAGTTTAATATGCATACTGCGTACAGGCTGTTACTTGCGTTGTTTGAGAAACGTATGTCAATTTTATTTTATTTGTATCCATTTATCATCATGTTGAAATTAAAAAACCAGTATACTTTAACCACCAAATTAATCACAACCTACTATTATTTCAGTCATATGTAGTAGTATTTTGCATCTATGCAAGTGTCAAGTAACTCGTGAAATTTGATGAGAAGAAATTATTTATTAATTTATCTTTTTTTAATTATTTGTTCATTTTTTTTATAATAATTTTTTATTAGCTATTTATTTTGATAAATCAAGAAAGGGCAAAATAATTTTACCTATGATATCTTTAATTAATTATTTTGAAAAAGATAGAATTTTTTGAAAATCTTAAATTTTTAATTCATCTATTTTATAATTAATAGGGATAAAATCTAAACTCATTATATCAATAATTGCTTTCTTAATAGGTCTGTCAATTCAAATGTAATTAGGGACAGAGGGGGAGTACTATCTATGTCAAAAGTATTTGAACTATGATTTCTCATGATTATTGCCCCATTTAATTGATAGTGTTAGCGTATAACTGGAGCGATTTATTTATATTCTTATATCGAGCGAAGAAAATAATTAAAAGTTTTGAATTTGTCGAGAGAAAATAATTAAAAATTTGAATCCATCGCCATAGTTTAACCACGAAATTAACCACGACGTACTATTATTTCACTAATATATAGTATTTTGCATCTGGATAAATGTCAAGTAACTCATTCACGAGAGGTTACGTAAATCATGAGAAGAAATTATTTACTAATTTATTACTATCTATATTAAAATTTGAACTATGATTTATTGCCCCACCTAATTGATTGTGTTAGGTTATACCGTTGGGTATAATTTGGAGCAATTTATTTGTGTTCCTCTATAAAATGGAGGAAATAATTAGAAATTCTGGAACTTTCACTGTATGAAAGGGGAAATAATTATAAATTCTTAATCCATGCTGCATGGAGGAGGAAATAATTGACCATAAGCTAGTCAAAGTTGAAAACGAAAAGGAAAATATTAAAAAAAAAACATGTATGATTGTAGCATAAAGTCAGCGTAAATGAAAGACAATAGTACTAATTTTCTATTATATGTTAAAATAATTCACCTCCCACAATAATTAAATCATGCCCTTCAACAACTCAAAAGGGGGTGATAAGAAAGAAAAATCTTTAAAAAAAAGGCCAGATACTTGCCACCTTTCACTATAAAAGTTGAATATTCTCATCTCCATCTCCATCTTCTTTGTAAACTGCACAAAGAAATAAATGTTAGACCAAAAGAGTTTAGGTTTTGTGCACAGACAGTATATTAGATATTTATATCATAAGATACCGTGTTTATATGTCAACTGCTATAATAGTAAACTTATTATGATAGTAATTTGATTAATAGAGTAATAGAACAGTATAATTGGTTCAATAAGAGTAAGTTTAACATATATTCTATAATTTTTATGTATCACGTATGAGATTATATTGAACAAGTCATTTAAATTGCAACAGCGATATAAGTATTTAAGGATTTGTTTGATTGGAAGCAAGTTATTCTGGATTAACTATTTCGGTATAAATTATTCCGACATGTATATATGGAGGATAACTTATCTAATCACTATATCAAAAATGACGGAATGAATAATCCAAAGACTATCTAATACCTCAAACTAGATATGAGATAAAATAATCTTACATACATTTTATTCTAAAATTATTATACTTGATAGCTCCACACATCAAGCAACCTAAAAAATAGAAGGAAAGACTTGATTTAGTTTTTGCAAATTGCTTATGTATGAACTAGTAAAAAGAAAAGGGACGTTGACGGATATCAAGAAAAGAACCTAACAATATTCCGATGTTAATTTTGCCACATAGGTTATAGGTTTTTTGAAACATATTATAGTGTTTAGCAATCTATTAAGAGATGAGTAAATAGCATAATTACTGACACAATCATAGTGGATGAGTTAAATATTTTACACTATCACTAAAAGATCTAGTACACAGTGTAACCTTCTAACAAGCCTGGTTTTGTAACCTGCAAATAAAATACTAAAGTACATAGTATAACTGGTAAAACTACACTATCATTAATTATGCAAATGTTATTTATGTAAAGATATAATTACCGCTTCCTCCGTTTAAAAAAAAGATTGGCCTAGTTTAACTTAAATCGGAATTTAAGAAAAGAAAGAAGACGTTTTAATTTTGTAGTTCTAAATTAAGGTCCTTTAATCTTGTAGTCTTAAACGTGTCACGTGGATAGTTAAAGTTAAATTCAAAAAAGAAAAGGATTAAAAGGAAAATAGGGTAATTCTTTTTTAAACGGAGAAAGTAATAAAGAGAGTATCAAGGATTTATACTTTTTTGAACTCATATGTAAAATATGAGAGAGACAAGAAGGAAAAGCGTTGAAAGGTACTTACCAAGATTAAAAATATTTGTTAGAAGAAAAAATCACTTGTAACATTAACATGAAGGACCAATGCTCCTTTCCTCTTCACTGTTGGCTCTCTGTTGCTGCTGTGGTGTTTGTGGTTGTTGCGGTAGCTGTTGTTGTTGCTGAAGCAATTGATGTGGCTGAACCTGAACCTGGCCGTGATGCTGCTCCTGCTGGGCTTGTTGAATCTGGTAAGGATCATTGTCAAATGACGCTAATGCCAATGAAGGTGACATTGATGAACTCATTTGATGAAATCCTGTTGCCGTTACTGGCCCTGTTGACAGAGACGGATTCAAGATTTAGAATTAATAAATTCTAAATTCCTTAAAAAAAATAAGAGTTCAAAACACATAATCAATATATGTGTTTTTGTGTAAGGTAAAAAAAAATGTCACGTTTTCTAAATGGATCTATTACTAGCCTTTAGCTTCCACCAGCAACAGATATCAGGTTGATAACTAATCATAAGCATTATGTTACAGTACCTGCAGAATCATATCCGCTGTTGAATTGTTGTTGTTGTGGTTGCTCATAAGTTCTCATCATCTCCTGTTCCCTTGCAGCCATTACCGCGGCTAATTGATGAGCTTCAATCACTTGGTGTTGTTGTTGTTGTTGTTGTGGATCACGCATCATTAATTGAGCACCATGCTGTTGCATCCCTGTTTGCAATCCCATTGGCTGCATATTATAAGCCATCATATTAGAAGAAGAGGGATTATTGGGATGCTGTTGAATATACCCAGAGTGTTGAAGCATTGGCAACATTGCTTGTGGACCAATATACGTTGCTAAATCTTTCTTAGCATTCAACAAATCATCTTGAACTTGCTTAAGCTTATGCTGAAGTATTGAAATTAGTCCAACACAACCATAAACCGGATCACGGAGGCGATATTCCGCTTCATAAGCTAGGGAATTTACAGCATCTTCCCGTTGAGTCGCGTTTAATTCGTTGAGTAATTTAGCCACGTTACTAGCCCCAAACACCTTGTGTACGTTCTCGAATTTTCGAGGTTGATCTGGTGGGAAATATGGCGCAAAAACACATTCTTGTGTGCATTTTCTACGCAAGAATTTGCATGCTGCACATGGAGAATTCGACGATGACATGATATTTTGCCCTAGACAAAAAAAAAGAGACCTTAAAATCCGAGAAATATACTTATAACAAAATGCATTTTTTGCAGTAGTAATTATAGATGGTAAAATTATGTATGTTAAAAGAATGCATGGCATTAAAGTCACATGGAAGCAAACATGGCAAGTAAATATATTTATATCACCAATAGAATAAATTAAGAGGTATTTTAATTGATTTTAATCAAGGTAACTAGGGCAGTGATTAGTAAAAGAATTTCAGTTACGATTTCCGAAATCCAATTAAGAATAATAGTAGCAAAAGGGTAGATTTTTTTTTAATTAAAATAAAAAGAAGACAGTTATGTAAAGAGGAAACTTGTTGTAATTTAAGATCTAAAGTTAGTAAGTAAATCAAGATCTCTTTAGATCAACACAAAATTTATTGTGTTTCCTTATCAAACTCAACATCTTTTCCAATTCACAAACAAATTAATTAATTAAACACATAAATAAAGATCCAAAAACTCAAAACGAGGTAAATTAAAACCAAAAAAAAATAAAATTAAAGAAAATCTCACCTTGTATTTTGTCAAAACCACTATAGATCAAACTTTAATCCTTCGTCTCTTTCTCTCTCCTTAAAATTCATATCATCTGGGAATAATGGAGTGAGTATAAAATGAATTAAAAAAAACATAAACAAGAGTTAATACGTAAATCTTTCTACTTTTTACCTATTTATTTATAGCAAGTGAAAACAGAAACAAGTATCATAAAGTTGTGATGACTGATGAAATAAATAAGATTTTTTTACTCTGCAAACACGATATGAATCTGAATTAATTGAGTCATACTAGATGGTTATAGATAAATCGAAAAGGGTTTGATTTACCTTTATGACAAAAAATTGAGCAAATGAAGATTCATTCTTGTCGATCCGATCGATTTTCAAAAGAATACAACAAAAAGATAACACGTTTAGTTTTTTTTTTTAATTATTATGAATGAATATATGAGACAGAATTTAAGAGTGAGGGGGGATGGGAGAAAAGATACGAGAGATTAAAAAGGAAAAGAAATCATTACTAAATGCACAAGTATAATTTAGTGGAAGTCATTTTTATTATATAGAGGGTAAGAGTGTAAATATATTCATTATTGGGGTGTAATGTGAAAGAGGAGTCGTGGTGACCGCGTAAAGAGGAAGAAACCTCCATTCTGACTTTCTGACTAATGTGAATCTGATTAGCTTCTTTGTCCCTGCACACATTCATATTCCAAATTTACCCTTGGTAAAAGTTATATGTCATGCGTCTGTCTAGGCGATATTATATTATGATATAGAATTGTGAGATCGAATTAGCGTATTGATATGCGATTTTACGTTTATTTCATATTATGAGATGAAATATCATATCATAATTTGAGATTTTTAAACACAAAAATTGATTCACAAATTTATATTTTTTTAAAATAATTCACAAACTTTTGGAGCTTAGAATAATAGATTAAAAATACTAAAACAAGGCATGAATAATTATGATATTGACACACAAGTGAAAATTGTCACAATTTGTGCACTGTTACATAATTATTTGCGAAAAGGAGTAATGAAATATTTATGGTCTATGATCATGAAAACATAGTTGCGGATGTTATTGACCAAAAAATGACTCAAATGTAACAATGTTGGATCGTCCTCTCGATAACATGATCGAGAAATGCAAGTTTAACATGAGGAGATTGTCATTATCACGTGGGAGGATTATATTAAAGACTAGTTCACTACAATTTATGTTCAATTTTTTTTTAGTTGAATTAAATTTTGATAAAACAATTATGCAAGTGTGAAACAAATAACTTAGTAATAATTTATTATACGATTTTATACTTTTTTTATTTATTTGGTAAGATTAATTTAAAATTTTGGATTATTTTAATAGTTTTACAACTTATGGATACTTATGTTTATAAGAGAATATATAACGCAAAAATTTTATATCGCATGTCCAAACAAAAGTTCGATTACATCTTGTAATTCCATATTATGATACCATATCATAATTCTATATCATGATATCATATCCCATGGTCAAACGGGCCCTAAAAATATAAATTACTAGTATAATATAAACCTAATCAAGATTAACTTCTGATTATGCAACAATATCTACCATAAACATTACACCCCCTATGTCTCATATTATTTCACATTTTAAAAAAGTTTATTAAAAAAGAAAAATCATAAACAAAAAATATTTTTATTATTTTATTTTTTATTTCTTTCCAATGAAAATTGTAGTACTTTATTTTAAGAACAATACTATAGCTTGTTTCCCCCAAAATTATACAATTTCAAAAAAGTGTTTTTTCCTATAAGTAATTTGTGTTTCACTGGATTAATATAAAAGGGAATATACTTTTGAGAATTAATCATTGTTAATTGATTAAACTTTTAAAAAGTGTTTTGAAATAGATGTTTCAAAATTGTTTTTTTTCTTTTCAAAAAGTAGTTTTGAGAAAAACTTTTTTTTCGTTTCTGAAAAATGTTTCTGCTATTTCTCAAAATTATTTATTTTCTCTTTAAAACTTGGTCAAAAACTTCACTTTTTAAATTATTTTTTGGGAAAAAATAAGCATTGCCTACCAAAAATTTGTTCAAATATATTATAGACTAATCTTATTTCAAACACAAGTGATACTAATTTAAATAAGACAAAAATAATAAGCTTCATTTTGTTTTTGTAAAATAACAAGTTAACTGTGATAGTATTTAATAATTTTGAGTCTTAGTCAACTATTATTGGACTGAGCCATAAAGAAAGTAATTATTACAATTATAGGTAAATCTTTAGTATTAAGATTAATCGATAATTTAGTAAAAACAGATTACTAACTTATTATAACGAGTTAAATAATATTAATTGTATTAAAGTTTTCATTGTTGGTGTATACAATAATCCTTATCAATAAGGGTTATGGTGTAGTAATAAATATTTTTTAAATAAAGATATTAAATTTGAATTTCTTAAATATAAAATCATAATTATAATAAATTTTTTGTAGATATCGAACATCGAATCAAATAAAAAATAAAAATAAAATCAAATTTTATCTAGAGTAGTTTCTAATCTAACTGCAAACTCCTAACTCTGCCCAAAATAAATAAATAAACCAGCTCAATGAATTTCCCACCTACCCAAAAACCACTTAATTTTCGTGTGACTTTGGTTTTTCTTAAATAATTTAATTTATGCCCCTCACATAAATACATATAATAGTCATATCGATCAATTTATTTAATGAAGATTTTTGAGTTAAACCCTTTACTTCTATATAGCTATTTCACCCTACTAGTTTATTTAGTCGGTGACTATATTATAATAAAATTATATTAAATTGTTACAACTCTTAAAACATTATGTAAATACGTCGTATAATATTCTCACGTGCATGAGAAAAGAAAATTTCTTAATGGACGTCCTGCATTAAGTATTTTTATTTGATAGTCGTACTAAATATGATTATATATATTATTGGTACATCTAAGATTAATTAATTAAATACTAAATTAGCATAGCAACTATGACTATTTGGATGCTATTCTTTACAAGTTTCTAATAGGTATAGTAAGTAATAAGTTATTTTCAACTCTACTCGTTTTTAAATGTCGGTGATTAAATGTTGAAAATAAATAATTAGCAAAGGTGTGTGTTAAGTATAAACATAAATGTTTTTTAGAAATATATTTGTTTATTTGTTAGTAAAAATATTAATATCTAATTTAGATAAATAATATGGCAAGTGAGGATGTGGCTGGTGGCTTGATGGGATGGGACTATGGGAATGGAGGCAAAGATGAGATGTGCTGGAGGATGAGATAATTAATATGAAATGCAATTAACTCAATTAATGAAAATAATATTTATATTACTGAATCACTTTCTATTTATAATCTCAGTATATATTATGATCTGTAAGTTTACATAATAAATTTAGTAGAATATAGTTTGTATAATATGAAAATATCAGATATGTTTTTTCTTTTAATTTGACCGATTAAGATCTGGTCAAATCCTTTAATTTATTCTTGTAGAATAGATATGCACATAACCTTAATGGTCCTAAAAGAATAAAGCTACTTCTATATTGTTGGTTTTGTAATGAAAGAATTATTCAATTTAATCTTATCCATGCAAATTTTTGATCCGTTTTAAAACGATGAAACAGTTGTGTGGTTGGAAATAATTTTGCAACTAAATTTGTTATTTTATTTTTAATGATAAGCTATTATAGCGAACACGTTTAATATGATAATTTTTTTTTAAAAAAAATGAACAATTCTAAATTAAATTAAACTATTAACATGTTTGTCAACCTTCTAAAATGTACACAATCTTATTTGAATTCTGAATTATATTACTAAGCCTTGTTAACAGCAAATTTGACATTTACTAGTTGAACTTTGATTAATAAATTCAAGTCAATATTGGACCAAGTATGTTTTAGAATAAATTTAAATTATATTAGAATATCTGACTAGGTCCAAGATCAGCACTAAGAAAATTTTGCTTTGGGTAAACATAATTAGTTATCACAATGTGGATTATTATTAAAAGTATTTTATCTAAACCAAAATACGATTTAGCAGCGATAGAAAATCAATCAAATATATATTGCTTCTCCGTTATCATAAGATGAAAAGGACATGTGTTGAATGCCTTGAATCGGGCCCTTAATTTTCTGTTGATTCTGTATGTTGGGCCCAAGCCTTTTAGGGCGTAGCTTAGCACTATATATAGACGCTATGTCAAACCCTATTCTGTAATTCTGTTTTTGCCTCTCCATAATAAAACTGCTCCCTCTCTTCCCGTGAACGTAGCCAATTTATTGGTGAACCACGTAAATCTATTGTCTTGTTTTTCGCGTTTATATTTTCTCGTATTATCTCAAATTTCGCACAACAACATGGGTTCACATGCATGCAGCATATTAGCATATTTTAATTTGCAAAGTCAATATGTCCTTATATTTAATTTTTGAATTTCTTAATCTTAAATGGGATTCGTTTGTAATGGATCTTCTTTGACCCTTATACTTTCTTTCACATAATTTATGACACACCTTTTTGTTGTCTCGTTACAAAAATAATGTTATATTTCTATAATTAAAAAGAAAATTCATCTTTTTACTTTAAAAAATAATAATTTATAGCTATATATATTTAAGATTATAAATTTAAAATTTTTTTTTTTCTTTAAGCTTTGTGGCTAGTAAAATACAGGGGCGAAGTCGGTCATGTGGGTTCTACATTTTTAAAAAAGGATAACGATTTTAATTTAAAATAACAATTGTCAAATTAATGAATAAATATGTAAGTATTTAATTCACTAAAAAATAACGATTTGAATTCTAAAAATCCCAAAGACACAAATTATGTTAATGAGATGTTAGTCATGTTTGAAAAATATTATCTTAGATGTTGTCACTATAAATCTTTAGTTAATAATATGAAGATTTGAGTAATTTAATTTAAAACTTTTGAATATTGTTTATAAAATATGAATAATTTTTAATATAAATTTTGAATATATTTTTATTATAATCTTCAATATTGTTCTAAGTGAGATTATAATTATTAAATTCATCATTAACATTTTAGCACCTAATGTATATATCTTATTAGTTTCATTATCAACTAGAACCATTATTGTCTTAAAAGAGTTAAAATTTTGAAAAGCAAACAACAATTATTTTAACCTGAAAAGCAATAAGCAAACAACAATTATTGAATAACCCTAGAATCAAAAATTAAAGATTAATTTTAAATAGATAATTATATGAGGTAAAAACAAACAAATCAAAATAAAAAAAGAAGAGACATGAGTACATTGTACATATCGGAGGGAAGAAGTCGGATAATAGCAATCATATCAATAATAAAAATTAGAACACTAACTATTGAAAATAAATTTAACTTAAATTTTTTTCAAAATTTAAGTATAAATCAATAGTTAGATATTGTTTTAGAGTAGGACACAAAACACTATTTTTGTGTTTTTTTTCATTTACATATTTTCTCATTTGTATAAAATAGCAGACAAAAGGAATTCGCTAGGTGAGCAGAGACCATTGGGCCGCCCCCCTTACCATGCTTATCGGTTCGCAGAAATTATATATGTATTTATATTTCAATACGAATATAGAATATATAAAAGGTTAGTGGATTTGTTCGAATTCTCTTTTGATATCGTAGCTCCACCCCTAGTGAATCACTCTCTTTGTTCACTTTTATTTATTACTTATTTTTAAAATAGATTTTTATTTTTATTCGTCACTTTTTACATATAAAAAAAAAATCCTAATGTTTCGCCCTCAATGTTGAATACTTATTTTTCAAGTCATCATTTAACAAGAAATAATTTTGTAAAATACCTACATTAATAATTATTTTTTTAATGTCACTGTCACATTTTCTTGTTGTATGCATGGGATTATCAGTGCAAGCGTGCACTGCCCGTTGATGTGATTTGAAGTCAATAAATACATTGAGTCATTTCATACAAACAATTAAAAATCAAATCATAGGTTTGCTTTGGTGTAGAATAAAATGCCCCTTCGTCTTTGACTATTATGTTTAACGTGAGCGTGCAAGGATCTTTAATTTGGCTTTTGTAGAAAATCTTCATAATTGACAAAAACGTCGTTAGATAATTACATATTCCTAATTTAACTTTATTAAGTGTCTAAATCTTGCGGTATATTATCATTTTGTTTATTTTCTATTGTCATAGTTTCAATTTTTAAGTCAAACTATAAAACTTTGACTAATATTTTATTATGTATATTTTCTTCATACGAATATGCAAAAAATTGTTCTTGTACTTTTCCTATATTTTTTAAATATCTATATCTTTTGTTAAAAATATTAAATTAATATAAGTTAATTTAAATTTTAAAAATAAATTAAATTAACTTCTAAAAAGCTTAATATGATAAATAAAGGTAGACAGAGTGTTTATTATAGATAATAGATGTGTACATGTCGCCATCAGCGGGATCGCTTCGCTATCCCAAATTTTTAATAGAAAATTCTTGTATAGCACAACTATAATATTATATACATACAAACCAAATACATAAACATAATGTTAAGACACATATCATTATTTCTCCTTTTTCATTTATGCTGTCCACATTGATCCAATTTTCAAGTTTCGATCGTGGCAAATCAAAGCTACTATGCTTATATACGTTATAGTTAAAGACAGTGCGATCTGAACATGTCATACTGATATGACAAAAAACGATGAAATCGAAAAGGAAATATAATTCTTGAATCTATTTAAATACAAGGGTAAATAAAGGATACCTAAATAATTAATAGTAATACAATTATTTAGTAGGAATGACACCAGGTAGGAGTTAGACGATCACGATGTCCTATTTAAATAACATCCAATTTTGAAAATTATCAAAAAAAAAAAGATGATTCTCTTTCTTCTTAGTTCTTAGGGAATTTAAAATAGCAAATCAGACATAAACAACACAATTTTTTCGAAGTATTGGTCATATTCTCATCTGTTGAGGAGGAGCTTTTTGAATATCATGTACCTTTTGGTTGCTTTAAAAATACTTTAAATTAATCCTTATTCGTAAATAACACTACAAGAAAAACTACCTCTAAGGAAGGGAAATCTCGTCCCTAAATGTCCAAATATGATCGCAAAAAAGACTATTGCGACAGAAAAATGTTGGTCGCGACTCGTCCTAAAAGGTTTCTTTGCTAAAGGTGTATTGTGACGGTATTTGATATATGGTCGTTAAAAATGTTATTAGAGACGGCACCTAATACGGACCCTGATATACATTTAGAGATCGTAAATCCCATCCCAAATAGGCAAAAGTAGTTATTTGCGACCATTTTGCGAAGAGTAATTATCTGGTCCTAGATTAATCTTTACAGACGAGAACACTCCTTGTCCTAATTTAACCTTTATAGATGAGCTACTAGCTAAGCATATATTAACATTTAGAGAGGAGCAAGTACTTAGTCCTCTCATTTACCACCAACTGTACATCAAATTCATATCATAAAATTAATTAATTTCATAACTAAATAAAAAAATTAATACAAAATGATGATCGATATATTTTCAATATTTGCTCACCAAAAAATACTTAAATCAATTAGCATCTCAAGCTAGACTATGTTATCAAGTTTTACATAACGTTCTTAGCAAAATAATAATGAGCTTGTGCATATTCTAAACTTTCATCTTGACTTGTAACTTCAATCTTCAAAAATCTGTAAGTACAAAATTTTGCTAAAATCATATGTACCTATTGGTTTATAATGATATCTATGAACTTACAATAGAACTAGTTAAAGTGCTCACTGCAAAAGAAGTGTAGAATTCATCAATACTACAGACACTTTAACAAGTTCCAATAACATAAAGAAAAATATTAGAGAAGTTTAATATGATTGATTTTTCATATTGAACGTCAAGAAGCACTCGATTGAACCTGCAACAACAAGAATTAACTAAAAATGCACTCGAAATTACAAATTCCATATTACAACTTTGCATAAACATGTGTATAAAGGTCACTGTGATGTTGTTTGATTCATGACCTTTTCCTCGTTTGCAAAATTGAGGTCAGGTTTGTGCAATTACTATTTGAATGTTTCAGAGAGTTTAGTTTGATGCAGTTGTGTAGATGAGTATGTAAAAATAAAAGAAGAAGAAAATATGCAGTTGTGCAAGAAGTCTAGTTAAATTATGGTTTCTCGATTAAGAGTTGATGTTTGTTAATGTAAGTGCAAGAAACAACAATACCTGATAGTTATGCAGAGAAGTGTTAGAAAATAGAGAGAAAAAAACAATGTACAGCAGTTAATTAGTTGTTCCTTTGTTAAGCAACTAGTTCTTGTAAAATTTAAAATGAAGCAAAAGAATGTCTGACAACTATGAGGAGAAATGTATTTATAGTAGAGAAAGAAGGAAGAACAGTTATAATCATGATTTATTCCAAGTATATTAAAAGCAAATTGATGTTTGTTTCAACCGTCCAATTATTGGAAAAGGTTAATTTATGAAGGGCATTGTGTATTCATAAGAACTTCCTCTTCACATCTCCAAAGATACGTTACATTAGAAAAAAATCATGAAGGTTATTTGCCAGACTTTGGAGAAAACCGTATTAATCTATTCATTAAAATTGCAGAGAACACAGAGGATTATCACAAATATTATAAGGCTTTCTCAAAGAACCTCAAACCGTTGTCAGCATTGAAAACATTTTCTACACTAAAAAAGTGCAGCAGAGGAAAAAAGTAGCTTCCTTCTCACGTGAAGAGTTTGAAGAAATGTCAATGATGTCAATGTCATATGCTAAGATCTACATTCTGATAACTATATAGGCATGTTTGAATCATGAACTTTATCATTAAAAATGACCAATATCTGCTCGATTATTTACACTAGAGAAATTATAGGAGGAAAAAAGTGGTATTCTGAAAAATATTGCTTTGATTGGAGAAGTTCGGTCGATAGATCAACTTCTCGCTAAAACATATATAGAGATTCTTTTGAGTTATCCCTCTTGCTTGGCTTAATCATATAACAAATATCCAGTGGATTAATATACGTTTTACATTATTATCATTGGTGCAATAAAATCTAAGTGTGATCTTAGTCTTGATCAATTCGTGTCAATTACAGGGAACTAAAGAGTACACATACTTTTCGTTCCTTACAGTAGCTCACATATTTGATCAATTAATTGAGACACATTGCATATATAAGGATGCTTCAATGAGATTTTTTCAAGGCATAAGATGCATATATTCTTTCTATAGTATATTACCAATAATTTCATAAAATACTAACTTGTTGTACCTCCTATGAAAATTAAAGCAACTAGATAATTGCATATGAATAAAGAGAACAACCAGGTAATGAAGAAAAATATAAACAGAAATTTGAACAGACAAACACGCAAGAGACTTAACACAATTTAAGCAAAAAAGGAGGCATATCAGAGAACTGATTAAATGGAAATCAACGCACAGAGGAGGGCAGAACTTCATGACCTACCACCTAAATTGACTTCATCAGAAATCTCTGCAGCAGACTCAACAAATAGAGGAATAAGTAAGAAGAACTTATTACGTATCAAAAATGCAGCTCATTGCATCAATTGTTGTTCTGTACACTTCCAGCAGATATACTCTCCATCCCCTAAAAAGACATAAACGACATTTAAGATGACAAATTATTGTATAAGGTCGCTCACCACTTAGAAAATGAATTTAAAACATGTCATGAGATAATTACTAGTGAACTACAAGATGAACTTAGTATCAATAATTTGCAAAACCAACTTATAAAAAGAATGTAAAATCAAAGCACACTAATTCAAAGGTTTCTGAAAATAGGAAGCAAACTAGCAGTCCCAGTGTGTAATAATCAGAACAGTTTTGGTGAGTAAAGCATAGCAAGGAAACATGTTGTAGATATTTCCACAAATAGACTTCGAAATATTGGATCTGTCCGCTTTTCATTAAACTTAAAGAGATGTACTAAGCTTCAAGGAAGGAAAAGATTTCTTGTTCAAGTGAGTGCTTCATCTTGCATGATACCGTCTTGCAGTTTGAATGACTTAAACTATCTCATCTAAAAATCTCTTCATAGATGAGTCGAACATCTATCCTCTATTATTTATGAGAGGGCGACCCTTGTCAAATTTAACAAATATGCAATGTCACTAGCACTTGAAGCTACTCAGGTATAGAATGCAACATCACAACATACTTCACACAGCCAACTTGATCACTCTAAAACCAACATATTGAAATTGGCCCATATTGCCATATAAGATCAACCAATAGAAGAGAGATTATTATTCATTTAACCTGCAGTTTATGTTTTTTTTTTCTTTATTTAGCCTTATTTCAAAAAGAAAACAATAACAAACAAAAACTGCTAAATGATTGCTACCTTAGAGAAGCTCGAACAACACCTACCAGCAACACACTGAACTTGGTTAGATTTTGGAGTTTCCTTTCCATCACTTGACAAAGGGAGTCCAATTATAAAAATTAATTTCCTAACCTCCCAAAAAAATCATACTCATAAAACTTCAGATACTAGTATATTAATCAATTCATAACAAAAATAAAATGAAAAAAGTAAGTGAATCATATTCAAGAAGAATCACATCAATAAGCATCTTACAAATAACCATAAAATTAGAGCATTCTACATCAAACATAAAGAAGTTGTATACTTATTTTTGGTTAATATGAATAATTCGAAGTTCAAGCTTTGGTCCTCTCAACTACAAAACCTAAAATCCACCAAATCAAAGTTTCAGTATATGAATGTGGGTGTATGACAACTTTGCAAATGAAATCGGATTACCATTAAGGGTCGAAAATTGTAGCCTTTACTAAGGGCAAGACCCAAATTGACCCCAAGACTGAAACCTCCTTTCTATGTTGAATCGTGCTTTCATCGAACCGCATATGGGGAAATTTCCTGAAGCTATACTGCTCTTATTGCCTTAGATTCTGTAGTTAATTGCGGAGAGTTCCTGACGGCCGATCGAAATATCACCGTCGGCAAGCTGTAATGCTGCTAATAGATGCGCTATTCACTGGGAAAATATTTCCAATAAAAGCATATTGGATATGGCTATTTTTGGGACAATATTTTAAAAGATTTAGGATGAAGTCAATTTAGGGCTTCAGTATACTGAAAAATATGCAGTGACTAATTAATTAATTGTTTTCTATTGAAAATTTGTGTCAGTTTTAATAATGAATTTTAATAATTTAACTTATGTTTTGGCGCTTGATAGTTTTGTGAAAAATTGAAATTGCACTTTTTACCTCTTTCTCACAATTTTTGACCAAAATAAGCCATTTTATAAATCAATTCACCAAAATAGTATGTTTTTAATTTTGTTTACAAAACTAGTATAAACGTGGTTCACAGTAACGTTTTATACTTTATTTATTTTTTAAAAAAATTATTTTATTTTAAAAAATTTAATGAGAAAAGGGACGATCCGCTAACGACGTTAAATAATAATACGTAACTGAAAATTACGTTTTAACTCTAATACGTTATCGAGAATAATGTTTTAAGCATATTATAATTTAATAATAATACGTAACTGGAAATTACGTTTTAACTCTAATACGTTATTGTGAATAACATTTTAAGCATATATAAATTAATAATAATACGTAACTGGAAATTACGTTTTAACTCTAATACGTTATTGCGAATAACGTTTTAAGCATATAGAACAAAAAAACCCCATTGAAGCGTAAACATACATTAGCCCCTTCTCCTCTTTCTCTCTTTTCTCTGTGTTTTTTTTTGAAACGAGAAAGATAAAGGTATTATCGCACTCGATTGCAACCCATATTTCCCCAAATTCGCTGGCACTCGGCTGAGACCAAAACGACAAACCCTCCAAGAAAACCCTAAGAAAACCCACTTGAAAACGGCTGCAGATCTGCTTTAATAAGGTAAAAAAAACTTTGATAATGAAGAGTTCTTTTTGTGATTCAGGTAATTTTGTCATACATTGATTTAGTTTATCTTATAGTTGATGAATTTGTTATTTTCCTTTAGGCAACCACCGAAACATTCGTCTTTCTCCCTGCTTTCGATCTCTTCGTTGTAGTGATCCAGCTCAGTAGGAGCATTCACTGCTTAGAGGTAAGCTTCCATGTCTTGTGATTCTTCATCTCCCTACCTTCTTCATCTTAAACCTTTGAAATCGCTAAGTGAGTAACTGCGTTATAGGTCGATTTACTCTGTTATTACCTAAGTGAGTGAGTGGGTTATAGGTCGATTTGTTGTAGTACCAGTTGCTTAGTTTGCTTAAGAAGGAAGGGAATTCATTTTCCCTCGCAAATAGAGTCTCTGCTTTGGTCAAAGTTTTGTCTGCTAACATAGATAGCAAGTACTTAACTATTGAAGTTATAATGATCCTAAACAGGAATAGTCTCTTGCAATTATTGAAGCTGCTCTGTCCTTGTCTTTTAATCTGTGCCTGCGATTTGGTGTGTACATGCATGGTTTTATGTTGTGTAAATATGTCATACATAATATATTTATCATTATTTAGAACCTACCTAGAAGTACTCGGGTTGCCTCTCCTACAAAATGCATATAGAGAGAATATATCAGTTTACAGCACAAGGGTATATCTGTAATTAACTAAGTGAGTGATCGGGTGGGTGATTGAGTGGGTTATAGGTTAACCCCTGCCACTCTTACCAAATCTTTGGTAAGTGAAAGCAGTAAACTGTTGTGCTTTTGATTGTTTCTGTCATGTAAACATAATTTACAACCACTATATATTTAACAACTCTTGCACTCGTAGATTGAGAAAAGCTTCTAAGTTACGTTGTATTCTTACTTCTGTGTAGGTATTTATTTTATGGCTGCTAATAATGCATACCAATTGGATCCCGGTCCACTTGATCCGTCTGTATTAACTGGACAGCTCACTCATAGGTCACGAGATATATGGATAGGGAATGATAATATGATTTTGAACACAAGAAAATGTGATGGGAAGTTTTGGGACCTAGTAAATGAACATCCCATTCATCCACGAGTCCTAGATGTGATTAAACTATCTAGATTATGTGGTGTTTATAGGTCTCATAGGCCTGTAATTAATCGTAGCTTAATCACCGCATTAGTTGAGAGATGGCGGCCTGAGACTCATACATTCCACTTTAGGACAGGTGAGAGTACGATCACTTTACAGGACGTGGAGATATTGTATGGCTTACCCGTGAAAGGTAATGCGGTAGTTGGGTATGAGCCACAGAGGTCTGTAGTGGATTGGCAAAATATTTGTCAAAGATTATTAGGTTTTAGTCCACAACCTCAAGACTTTGAACATAGTATTCTCAAGGTTTCTGCGCTTAATGCACACTTGCGACTTCAACCACGATTACCCGACTTGGCAACACAGGATATGGTCAATGAGAAAGCTAGGTGTTATATGTTTTGGATAATTGCAGGTTTACTATTGGCAGACACATCTGGTGGTCTTTTAAAGCTTATGTACTTGCCTATGCTGGAGGATATCACTACAGTTAGGGTCTTACAGTTGGGGTAGTGCAACCCTAGCATATTTGTATCGTTTTCTTTGTAAAGCCTCCCAAAGTAGCCAAAATGAGATTGCTGGATTCCTACCACTACTTCAGGTATACTCAATAATTACACTAAATTTTATCTAGTTTATAATTATCTATTATGTCCAGATTTGGGCATGGGAGAGAGTTACCGTCCTTACGCCTCAGATTGTAGTAAAAAGAGATACAAGGAATATTTTCCCTGTTGGTTTACCAAGGGGTCCACATGCTGCTAGATGGTATGCACATTTTAGTTGGACCGACACTACCAAACACGTGTTAAGAGTTTTGAGGGATGCGCTGGATTCCATGACAGAAGATCAGGTAAGATTTTGTACTAATTTTCTCTTAACTTTCGTATATATTGTAATTGTGAGTACTTTTATAGTTTATTTGGGAACCATATTCTTCTGACATAATTGAGAGTCTTCCCGAATATTGCCGCGTTGGAAGAGACATATGGCGTGCTAGAGTTCCAATTTTTTGTTGGGATGTTGTTGAGGTTTATTTACCCGATCGAGTTATGAGGCAATTTGGATTGGTACAAGCGATACCATCTTCATTTGCATTTGACGCTACACATTTTAACCATGATCGTCGAGGAAGATCAAACACAAATTGGGAGTTAGAGCATGCACAATGGTTGCATTTTTGTAACCATATTGATCAATATGTATGGAATGCACCAATCCTTCATGAATCACTTCGGTATGATGATCCCTACCTTATTTGGTTTAGACGTATTACTCGTTTTATCATTGGTAATCCTATTTCGAGTCCTCAATAACAACAAGGTTACGTGCCTAATGCGACGACATACGAAACAATGGTAAGTTTGATATTAGCTTATTAATTGTTGGAGCATAAATGATTTCTTTCGAACTATAGCTAGAATGTGTTAATTTTGAATTTTGAGGCAAGTTTTGTTATTTTGGACAGGTGCGTCATATTCATTTGATGGTTAATAAAGCAATATCTCTCGGTGAAAATCCATCAATGGAGGAATTATACGGGTTTCGTGCGATGGTGTGGGATGAAGGATCTAATTGTTTGGCATATGTGCAAGAGGCAGATAGGACTCATGTTCAAGCAGATTATAGAAGAGAGGAGCTAATGTCTGACCATTTGCATCCTCCTATTCGTCGGTGAGGAAAAAGTGGTGTTGCGGGTAGGAAGGTACGTGCTATTGAGAGAGGTCGAGCACCTATTGAAATGAGTGAAGATTATCAAACCACACAAGATTCCCAAGCAGTTTCGAATTATGAACCAACAAACATTGAGAGTGTGACGTACACGACACCACAGACTCCACAAATATCAAGGAACCCAAGTCTTTCATCACTTGAAAATGTATTTGGTAGTAATCAACCTCAACATTTTGACAACGCCCCAAACTTTGTGGATGGTGATGAGTTGGAGGATGTGAATCAAGGTGCAAGCCAAGGTGGTGAACCATCAGTGAAGAAAAAGCGTACAATCATTCCTAAGCTTTGTAGGACCGGTATGCTAAATTCTTCACATTATTCTTTAAATAAGTGTTTCTTTTTAGTTGAATAGCTGAAAAGTTGTTCCTACTTTTAGGGAGTCATTATCTTAATCAGCACGGCCAAAAGAACAAAACAAAAGTTTCTGTGTTGACAAAGAAAAAAGGCAAAGGATGATTCTCTGAACCGCCCCAGACTGTGGTGGATTACATTCGCGAGTGGTAATTTGCTTTAACTCCTGTTAATTTAGTTTAATTTGATGCCTAGCTTTTGGGGCAGTGGTAAAGTTGTGTTTTTTATTTAGCTTATGTAATTTAGCTTTATATCAAGTATTGATATATTCAGTCAAATCAAGTATGACTTACACCAGTTCACAAGTATGACTTTCCGTTGTTATTTGTTACAAAATTTGCATCTGATTAACAGATGTTTAGCAGGAATTTAACTTGTTGCTCTTTGCTGATAATGACTGCCTTTTAAGATGTTCTTGTTAATTTGGTTTGAATTAGATTTCATTGACTATTTATAATGAACTTCAGATGTCTGAAGCTTTCATGTGATATGAAGTGTATGATGCTAATCTGTTGGTGTCTGAATGATATGAAGGAGTCAATGAGAATGAGCAAACTATTTGCAAGACACATTGCCATAAATATTTCATGCAGTGAATAAAAGAAACTTTGTTCTTTAGATATATCTTTTGCTTGGGGTTGATGAATAGTCATAACAGTGTTGTTTCTCCTTGTAGATATTTTGTCTGATTTAGGCAACTCTTTTCAGGAATACTTATGTAATTTAGCTTTAATTTGCAGTGAATTTCATGCTTTATTGTTGTTGTTGTTGTTTATTGTATTGGTTTATGTTAAAAAGATGTGTTGTTGCAGTTGTTATTAGTGAGCTTTCTGGGAAGTATTAGTTCCAATTGTGTTAATTAGAATTGTGTTCAATCAAATCAAGTACTAGTTGGGGTCGAGTGTAATTATATTTCCATCATCTTTATTCAGGATTCAGTTCTGTTGTTCCTGTTTGAACTTTAAGCAAAGCAAGGCCAAATTTTTGTCGACATAACTCTAGTTTGTTATGCCACTGATCGTTGAAGCTTG